GATTATGTACGTTAATTTTAAGTATGTTTCTTACAGTATTCATCTAAATATGACCGTTTATGTATACGAAACATAAACGGTCATATTTAGATGAATACTGTAAGAAACATACTTAAAATTAACGTACTATTCATAGTTCTTACAAACCGTGACCAGAATACATAATATTATAATCAAATTATAACTAAAAAGTTCCTCTCAACCATTTCAATCTTCGCGGCTTCTATTAATACCACAATACCTTAGATTAGCCATATATTATTTCAATAAACATTCACATTTATGATCACGGATTTAATGAAACTTTTTAAACAAATATATTTTATAATATAATTCTTTAATATAATTGTTATTATTGACTTTTTATATAATTTATTAATACTTACTTTTAAAAATACAATCATAAGGGTTATTGGTTTTCAGATAGTATATACCATATTAAATGTCACGCAACGTAACGAAATTGTTCAATAATATTCCACTTTTAGACAATTTTTAAATAAAAACTTATATTATACTTCGAAAAAAAATTAATAATTTCAATTCACCTAAAATAATATAACTTCTGGTTTTAATACAAACTATAATTTGTATTCACAATTTTTTACTTTAAAAATGTATATCCAAGAAAAGTGATATTTTGAATGTTTTCCATAAGTGCAGGAAATTTACGTTTCTATTAAGTTTAATCAACTGTTGGATGTTAAATCGTCAAATAAAACAATCGTATAATTTAAAAAATATTCAATATTGTTCCTCTACTATAGCAAAACTGAATACAATTTTAAATTTAACTTTTGTACCTTAAGATATTTATTTCATTGAAAAATGTGAATAAAATAAAGATAAGTTACAATATTCATGTTTTTATATGTATTAATATAAAAACCACATATTCGAGAAATTATATTTAAAATTGATTTAAACTCAAAATTTGAATATTATGGATCATTATGATAATTGTAGGGACAAGTGGACAACACATTTATACACCGTATAAACATAAATCAATTATTACATTTTTCTTTTATAGTTTCATATGAATACAATATATTTTTAATCAAATTTGATAGTTTCTAATAATTTCTGAACTATAGATAAAAAAATCTTATTTTCGAAATCTATTTTAAAAAAAGTATCGATCATACTACCAAAATATTAAAACTTGAAAAAATTATACATTATTCGATAGGCGTTTTCAAATATATAACATACCTCTTTGAAAACAAGAACATTTCATAATATATCCCATCATTGGTCGTTTAGGGGGTAGTTCGATTAGGTAACATGTATAAATTGCCTCCAACACTGTTTAGAGCAGTCTGATGATATTTCATATAAAAAACGGGTAAAGTGCTTTATATTTTTTCAAAGCTGACCTTTGAAAATCGTCAAGTGGTATACTGTCAAAAGCTCATAAAAAAATAACAAATTAACCCGCAACGAGACGGCAACGGCTGTACGGCGGGTCACGTCACATGAAGTTTAAAAACCTAACTACCGTTGCCGTGGATATACGATTTGAGGGGCCCCCATGGCATAGTTGAGAATGCACGACATAACATTACTTTTTCCTGTGTGTAATAATTCATTTCCGCCTTACCTAAAAATCCAATCAGGGTAGCCAACTCAATAATGTCTATGCAATTATTAGGCGGGAAAGGTTTACATACCTATTGGAAAGTCAGACATGGTAATTTATTTTGAAATCTGACATTTAAATAGTTTATTACAGACGAAAAAATGGTGATAAAAAAAAAATGTTGTAACATAATTATGAAAGTTAAATTGTTGACAATTTAAAATTAATTAAATGAAAAGTCGAGTTTTAATTTTAACATTAATTAGTTAAAATACAAAAATCTTTTTTTTCCAAAAATATTTATAAAATATTAATAACTGAACAGACAAGATAAATTATAATACTATGTAACCTTTAGCAAAAGAAAATTTAAAAAATCAAAGCCTATGATTTTGCTGAATTTCAGAATAACTATTTCTCATAATTAATTAAATTTATAAGGTTTACAATGTTGCAGGAGATTGTTCTGTCTCTATAGTATTAAATAATAATGTTATTATTATTTAATATAAAAATCGTTACAACTCTGGTATAACTAAAGAAAATTATAAATTATATTATTTGGATTTCTTCCAATTCAACAATATAAAAAATATTAAGAATGAAACATTTGATCTTGTTACCTCCAACTCTCATAGCATCAATATACATTTTAAAATGAGTCACAATGAAATATTACCATTCAATAAAAAATTTTTAATTGGAACTTTAATGATTACATAATCTCTATTACAAATTATTTACGTCCTGTAGAACGGAATAAACATTTTCAAGATAAAGATATCAATAATAATACAAATTTTTTATATTCTCAACTTAATTATATAATAGATTCATTAATACCTAAATTAATTAGATACAACCCCTACACTCTATTTGGTTTATAAGGAATTATTTTATACTAAACGAAAAAAATGTGTCCATGATATATACATATTATTTAATAATTTAAACTCATACACTGAATTTTCCTCTCTACACACCAAATGTAAACAATTACAATATTATGATTATAATATGTATATTAATAATGTTGTTATGGATGAGAACTTTATCTCTGATAATATTGATGTTATATTTGGTATCTCTCGCAGAGACCATTTATGACCATTACTATTTTTAATATTTATTAATGATATTACTAATAAATCAAAACACTTTAACTAATTATTATTAGCAGACAATCTCAAGCTATTTAATAAAATTGGATATCAAAATGATATTCTACTACTTCAAAAATATTTAAATGCATTCAATAAATGGTGGGATGAAAATGGTATGCCTTTAAATATAAAAAAAAAATGCCACTATATCTTTCTTTTTTTTAAAAAAAAAAGAACCCATTATTTTTAATTATAATTTAAAACAAATCAAAATAACTTGAGTAAATGAAATTGTTAATCTCGGTTTACTTTTGATTCATAATTTAATTTCAAACTTCATATCAATAATATTATGAAAATCAATAAACTTAAGTTTACTTAATGCACTCATAAAGACTTCCTGATGCTCATGCATTTAAATTATTTTGTTTCTCGTTAGTACATTCTTGACTAGAATATGCAAACATGATAATGCACTCAAATTTTATAACTCAAAATTAAATAATTCTTTCACATTTAAAATAATGTTTTAAGATTTTTAAGTTTCCAATGTAAAATTTATAGAGCTCCTAATTCTGATTACAATATTTTAAATTAACTTTTCTCTATTTTGTCTATAGAAATAAGATTTAAACTATTAAATTTAAATTTTTTTATAAATTATTAAAAAATATTATAGATTTTCTAGAACTGATTGAATGACTTAATTTCAAACTAAACTCTCTAAACTTCAGACATAAACAACTTTTCTATAAACGAAATATATCGATCAAATAGGTTAACTTCCCTAGCTAATATTTTAATGTCTGCAGGAAATTCTGTATAGAATTTAGATATATTTCAATGTTCCCTAAATAACCTTTCTTTGAGCATTCATTAATATTTATTTTTGTTGTTAATATTTTTTTTTTCATTATGTCAGATATATATTATACTAACATGCACCTTTATATTTATAATTATAATTATTTTTCAATTGTCTTCTATATTTAAAAGATAATTGGAAATTATTCTAAACTAAAAAATGTATAGTATTCATACTACTAAAAGTAAAATAAAAAAATGAGAAAAGAAAATAGTTTTTTTTGTATTATATATATATATATTTAATATTCTAAAAATTAATAATGAACCTAAAGTCAAATTAATGATAAGCCAAACCTTTTATAGAGAAACTAACAAATGTGATTATAATTATAAATATATAGTAATATTAATTATTTATTAAGATTAAATTTAATTGATAAAAAATATTGATTCCACTATAATAATTTATATGATCGCATAGAATTTATTGACAATATAAAATTAAATAGAATCATATGTATTATTTATAAAGATATTTATAGTATCTAGTTACTGACATTAATTTCAGGCATTTTGAATCATTATAAAGTATACAATAGGTACCAGATATAATAAGGATTAATAATTAATGTGATTTATTATGGATTCCTTAGTGCATTTAATAGTGTCTAATTACTTGAACAATGGATTTAGAAAATGACAGAGAAAATAATTTTAATGGCTTCATTTTTCTAATCAAACAAACAAAATATAGATCAATAAAAATTAAATAAAAAAATTACCAAAATTCAAAAATTTTTTAGTAATTGATATTAAATTTTTATCATAGTATTATATGATAAAGCTTAGTTACTTAAACAAATTTGATGAATATAAATAAAATAAATTATTTAAACATAAATAAATTCAAATTAATTGAAGAAACAAATTTTATAATATATAATAAATGTTTTATTTTAAAATAAACAAAATATATTTCTAATTTATCAAACATTATTTATAATTGAAGATTTCTTTAAAATATTTAGGAATTCAGCATTGCATAAATATCCATTAGTATTTAATGGGTTCTTTAACATTTAACAATCTCTAAAACATCAAAGGTAACTTATAAATTAAATTTTAAGAAACTATTCAAGCCACATTTGTTATATTTTGCATTCAATATAGTACATAAAATAATATTTATCTAAGTTTCAAATCATCAGAATTATAAGTTTAAAATAATTAAAAATTACATCTATTTGAATTTCTTCAGTTTTTCATAACTATTGCTAATACTCTTTAAACTATTAAATAAAATTATTTTATAATGGAAAATTAAATTTAAAAATTCTTATTGAAACAATTAATTACAATTTAAAGTTGCTAACTACCAAATTACTTAGAATTAAAAACTTTTCAAAAATATAATTAATATTTTAATGAGATAAATCACATTTGATTAAATTACCTTTTTATTTTATCTAATTTGTAATTTAACAATAATCTTTAAAATATTTACTTACCATTCATAAATTGATTAGAATATCTGTTTTGTTGCTGTTGAAAAAGCATTGACGAACCAATAGTAGGAGTGACGGTAACACAAGTAGTTGTTGCACTTGAAATTTGATTTACTTGGGGAGAATTATCTATAGAAACATTTAAAATTAAATAAATGGTAAGTTAAATAATTTTATATTGAAATATATAATAATTTATGATGAAGTAAAAACAATTTTAAAATAAAAACTATTATCAGACTGATTTTTAATTGCTCTATTTAGAATTTAAAATTATAACTCATTCTAAATTAATTAAAAAATTCTTCAAATCAAATAATATTAGTAAACTCAAAATATTTCAACCAATTAGAAAAAAATGACTTCAAAAAAAATTTAATGAAAATATATGATTATTTTTTATTAATATTTTAATTATAAAAACCTAGACTAACTTTTTTCGATTGTCACATTTTATAGTTCATTGTTACATAATATACCATAACTTCTAATATAAGTCCATTTAATGTAAATTCATAATGAAAGAATAAACAAAAACCAATCAGATAGTATGTTTAGAAATATATTTTATCCGTACCAGTTTCAGAGATCGTATGTGTTTGAGCCATTGGACTATCTAAAAACAGGATTCCTTTTTGAATTAATTCATCTCGATTAGCTCGCACTGAGATCTTTCTTTCCAAATCTATATAAATAAAAGAATAATAGAAATAATCCACTTAAATTCATAAGACATTATATAAAAGTATAAATTACTTCTAGATGTTGTTTCAAATTTTTCTGATTTCTTTTTTCGTTTCCATTTCCACGGTTTGAAAAGTTTACCTAATGCAGAAAACTTGCTGGGTGGTTTTCGATCCAACTGCAATGGACTGGTACGCGTTCCTGACCCTAAGCTATTAGTTCGAAGTGCTGTACCATTTTGCTTCTTGGCTAAAAGAAAAAAAGAAACAATTATTAATTATTATTATTACAATATATTACATTATACATCCAACAAGTTGTTTAGCTTTTAAATTTCTTTTAATTTTTGAGATTGAAAATAATATAGGTAACCTAATCTATAAATAATCAAATATAATAAAGGATAAAAATATAAATTTATACCTATGTATTCTGTATAATAAAATAATAAATTTTTGAAAAAGATGTTAGCTCACAATTTAACAAGTACTGGTTTAGTAAATCATTACAAAAGATTTTTTTATAATTATGTGCCCAATGTTAAAAAAATTTTTAAATTAAATTATCAACAACAGAAAGTACAAAATAATTAAAAAATAACCAGGTTGGTTTTGGGATTTTATTTACCCAAACAACATAAAAACATTTTATTAGTTTATAATACCTTATAACTTATAGGTGCAACTAGGATTTCATTTTTGTAGTGATATTTTTAGTATCATTTAGTAAAGGTAAATGACTTATTTTCTAATTTGTATCTGTACCTATTAAATGTAGGATAGATAAATATTTGAGGGGCTAGACAAATATTTAAAGAGGTTAAGCCCCCCTATTCCTCATCTAATTGCCTTATGAATAACTGTAGTGACTTTTCGGATAAAAATGCACTAAATTTCTAATATACATTTATATATCCTTAATTTACCCTACATAAGAATAAAAATCATTAAATTGAACTAAATCATTTTTAAATAAATTACTGAAGATATTCAAAATAAATGTTTGGTGTTTTTTATGATGATTACCTCTGAATTTGTACTTTTGTTTAAATTAAAAATGATAAAATACATTACTCTAATTTATGTCCAGTTTTAAATTTTATGTCTTTGCAAAAAGAACACATTAAAATACGTTTTTTTTTCATATGGATACAACAAACAAATTATTCAAATTATGTGATGTATATGTATAATAATATACAAGCACATAGATTAATAAAAACTGTAAATTAATTAAAAACTAACTTATTTCCTATTCCCATCTCAAATCATATTTTAATTAATAGAATCTTTGATTTATTAGATTACTATAAGATTTATCATTTTATTTGAATTTAAGTAGGTACATACAAAAACCAAATAATATTAAGGTATTTTATATACTGATAAAATTGAAAAAAAATAATTATTTTTAACTATTGGATTACATTTTTTAAGAAGTACAACCTTTTTGTTATAAGGTCATACATTATACCGAAATAAAATTAAAAATATCTTATTTAACTACTTCATTTTTGAAATAAATCATTATTATCATTATAGCTGTCAAATCAACTATAAAGATGTATAGAATATATACGTTGGTATTACAATAGAATGCCAATAACTTTGAAAATGTAATACCTTGCAAGATCACATAACATAACAATAGAATGACCAATTTATTTTTTTTTTTTTTTTTTTACAGTAATTTACCGTTACAACAATATAAGAAAAAATATTTTAAGATATTTAGAGAATGTGTATCATAAAGTTCTATTATACCAACCTATATCTATAGGTCATCGATATTAAAATAAGATGATTATTATTAGAAACCAAATAATATTAAAACTAAATACTCATACATAATAGTTAATAATTAATAATTATTAAATTCTATTATAATTTACTAGATTTTAAAAATATATAGTATTTGATGATTGATAAATTATGGACATTATTAAACTGTCAGTTAATATTTTTAGGTTTAGTAAAACCTAAATAATTCATCGATTTTTGTTATATCATCCATCGTTATATGATATCATGTATTATTAATTTAATATTTTACACACATATAACATACATAGAATTTCTTTGAAAATGCCCAGTTCCTTATACAAAAATTAAAATAATTAATGTTTTCAAATAAAATAAAGTTACACTAATCCAAATAATATTAAACGTAATAAATAATAAGTATAAATATATTTTTTCTTTTATCAATCTAATACAGTTATTTGTTAAATCTTGGACCTGATAATTGATCTATTGTGCATACTATATAATAATAATAATAAAGTGTATTGGTATTATTATATCAATTTTATTTATAATAAAACATGTAATATTCAACAAGATTAAAGTATCAAAAACAAATTAGATAGAAAATGTTTGACATCAATAGAAAAGTTTTTAATTGATTCTACAAATTTGTAGAAAGGAAGAATCTCCTAAAAAATTATGTAAATGAGTTGCGCAGAAAATTGTTAATATAGGTTAAACAAATTCAAAAAAATATTATATGTATTAAATAAATTTATTGAATAAATAAATTGAAATTAAATATTTTTTATTTATAAGATTTTTATTTTATAAACTGGAAGCATAATTTTTCATATGGTGTCTTATTTATGAGACAATTCTGTGCTGGTCATATTATTTGGAAACATTGTTAAACAACAAAATTCAAAAAATGATTCTTGGCTAAGGTTGGTGAAATAAATATATTTAATTCTTTATTTTTAATGAATTCATCTCAAATGTATAAAAAAAAAAAAACAATAAAACATTATATTATAAATCTACAATTGTAGAACAAAAACCATACATATATATATATATTTTTTTTTTAATTATTATAACTAAATATCATAATTTATGAAAATAATTAGTGGAATTGTATTTTAAAAATTTGATAAAAAGTATTCAGTCCTTAATCAATTTTTTTATACTGCCTAATCTATAAAATAAATATTCAAATTTTAAATCGTATTTTTAATACAAAATTGTAAAAGAAAAATTTTTAGATACACAAAATTTAAAATTTTAAATTATTTAATGTTTTTTTTTTTTTTTTTTGTTGATATTGGAAAACTTTTAATAAAATACAAACTTAAGTATGTTAATGGTCTAATTATATAAAATATTATAAGAAACTAAGTAAAATTTTAAAACTTGGACAGTTAAAAAAAAAGAACATATAAAGTATATAAACTTGTAGAAAATAATATAAAACTACAAATAAAAAAAAAACATGTGAATTGTACCTACACCAAACATTAAAATGCGGAATTAAAGTTTTATAGTAGATATATGTAGAGAAAATTTATTTTTACTCTTTAAATACAACATAATTTACTACAAAATTTATGAGTCACCTATCATTATTGTCATTACCATATAATATAACTGAGCAATATTTTAGTAAGTGGGATACAATTTCAGAAAAACAGAATCAAAATAAAACACATATAATAGTTTAAAAGAATTCAAGTTACAAAAAATTTCATTGGATAGAATTATGCTACATTTACATATCATAAACAAAATATTGATGTCATTTAATTGACCATGAATTAATCATCTAATAAACTTTATAATACAAGCGTCAATATAACAATTCAGATACTTATTTGCTTAAAAGTTTGCAAACTGATAAGATAAATATTAGGTGTAATTTAATATTTAATTCTTTTAAAAATCCTTCAATAGGTACTTAAATGCTACATTTTTATCTTTAAACCCATATTTATAATATTTCATATATTAACCAAAAATAATATTTATATATCAATTGTTAAGTAATTAATATTAAATGCTTTAAAAAATTTGTATTTTAATATAATTTGTAATAATAATCATACTTATTCCTTAATGAATACTTTAAATTAATTTAATATAAGGTCGTTTTTATTATTAATAGGAACTTATTAAAAATAACCAAAATCTATGCTCAATTGTTAATGCAAATAACTTATACACTTGGGTATATTTTTGAAAATATCTGATTCTGTATACCTAGTTCTTTAATTTAAAATATCGTAAAGTAAATTGTAATTGGATCAAATAAATGATTATTTTTATTATGATTCAATTCATTAGGTATTCTCACCAATAATAAACTTGCCAGTAGTAGGTGATGTCGGGGTAGTAGCTGTACCACTAGTGTGTAAAAAATCCGTTAATGACAAAGAAGATGCAATTATTTGTCTCTTTTCCTCGAAATTTAAATAGTCCATGCTATTACTCCTAGGTTGTTGCTGTTGTTGGTGGTGATGGTGTTGTTGATGTTCCTGCAAATTGTTCTGTTGGCCATTTGAATCAACTATATCTGATGAAGGCGGAGGTGGTTTCTCACCATTTGCGGGCAAACACCCGCTGGACAAACGTACTGACATATCACTTTATTAACACATACTAACTATAAATTCACAACCTCGTTGATAATTTATTTCTTAATAAAATCGAGCTTTGCACAAATACAAAACAAAACTATAGTAAAAAAAAATGAATATAATATAATATAATATATAACGAATTTAAACACTCGGGAAGCACTTTTTTATTATTTGGAGGACCTGGCGAAAAAGTCCGCCTAATAGATCAGGATGGCACCAAGTTCCATTGGCGTTTTCCGATAATTATATTAACAGCGGCCAGTTTCTGGTGTCTGGCGATGCCGTTTACGGTTGTTGCGGGCATCATAGATAGACGTTGGGCGACATTTATTGAAGGAAAACGAAATTAACACCTAATGCGCACACGATCGGAATTCGGGACACTTGAACGACCGTTGCGCGCGCGTCGAGTGTGGCGGTCACTGAAATCCACAGCGGTTTCGTACACGGAACACTTTGATTTTATTTATTTATTATTATTATTATTATTGTTATTGTGATCAGTATGAAGGAAAATCAACGGGTTGATCAGGGAGAGGGGAGGTGTATTGGAATTTCGGAATTTTCCATAGATAAAGAGATTAAACTGATCGCGGAGAGAGTATATAACGTTAAACAGCGGTGGGAGTGAAAATAAAGCAGGTATACAGTGCCGACATTTGTACAAAAATCAAACCGTTTTATCGTTGTTATCCAATTCTGCTGCTCAAATTGTTCCATTTCTCATTTTTCTAACACTACTGTCCCGGCGTCCCGCCAATATTACTTGACCATCAGCAACGCCTCTTGTCCTCTGGCTACCGTTATTATACATACCTAATACACAAATTAATAAAAGTATGTGTTTGTATAGATATTGTAAAGTAAAAAATATTCTATTAATGAGTCTCTAGAGTAGACTGTAGAGTAGTACTTGCGAGTATTATTATTAATTATGCAAGTAATTATATTGCTCAGTTACTTCATGAACACAATTATTAAAATAACGATGATATAATACGTAAAATAATAATTGAAATAATTTTAAGGTTAAAACTTTGATCAAATTTAGCCGAATCTTCCTGTAGTTCATTTTAAATTTTGAAAATTTGTAATGTCTCGTATCTGTCAATCATTTAAGATTTACACTTAATGGATTAGTGGAATTGTCATTTAATTGGGTTTATTTCAAACGTAATACGGTAAATTAGAAGTAGGTACCGTGCACTAGAAAGATTAAATAGTTATAATTTATTTTATGTATCTCTTGCGATGACTACAACTTTAATAGAATTTGTACATAATTAATAATATACATTAACCATGTTTTATATCGATAAATATAATTTAAAGAAATACTATTATATAATGTATACCTATTTTATTCCTATGAAAATAATTATCTAAAAATTTATATTTATTTTACAAACAATTAAATTATTGCGTATAAGTACAAGCAGTGACGTGGCGATGTAAGTAATCGAGAGGTCGACAAATGAATATCGACAATATATACTTGCCTCTGAAAATGTTTGAGTTCGCTACGCCACTGAGTGCAAGCCTGTGGCGTAACATATTTATGGCGTATCCAGTGCCGGCGTTAAAATTTTCGAGGCCCTGGGCAAAATACATTTCATGAGGACCCGACACCCTTGTGCATAGAAAATACATAACAATTAATCTCAAAGTTCTCACGATACATGAAAATAAATCTCCCTACTAAAAAAAAAACATGAATTTTTAATTTATATAATATATAATAATTTTTATGAGAAGTACTAATACTGGTATCATATAATTCTTTTCAAAATTCAATCATTTTATTTAAAGTTATTTAATCGATATTTTAATTATACATAATATCAGTGGCGTACACAGCTTTTTTGAATGGGAGGAGATATTAATTTTTGACTTGTCACAAACCTGTGGGCTTCGCCTCCCACACCTCCTTCCACTGAATTTATATTTTAATTTACATTATCCCCTGAACAACTTAGAAGACATATTAATCTTCTACTTTAAACTTCATGCTTTTTATATTTAGGCTTTCAAATTGAAACATTAATAAAAAAAAATGTATTCCTTCCATAAATACATTATATACATACAAGTTTAACATATTATTTTAAATATACAATTCATTAATTAAATTTAAATTAAAGAATTTCTAGTTTTCTTGGTTTCTTGGCCATCTCATCCAATGGTTTATCTGGTGTAACAATCACGTCTTTGTGTATCGCTAACATAGTTAACCATTTAAACGATCCTACAAAAAACAGAAAAACATAATATTAAAATGTATTAATTTTTATTTGAGATTAATTAATTTTAGATTATACCTCAGCCATTGAATTTCTCAGGTATGTTTTTATTCGTTTTAATGTGGAAAAGGACCTTTCAGATGTTGAAGTTGAAACAGGTAAAGTGGATAAAATGTTCAATAGTTTATTGATATTAGGGTATAGATTAGGACAACAAACTCTAAGCGCGTCAAAGGCTGTTTTGATAACTATATGGTTTTGAAGTAATTTTTCTTGCCAAATTTTTAATTCTGCTAAACTGTTATCTTTCTTTATAATAGGTAAATAGAACTCTAATATATTTTGAATGGATTCAACTTCATAAGCACTAAGATACTGATTTTTCGAAAAAAATAGCTTCAAAACCTGCATAATTTAAATTATGAATGAACTATACAATTTTTATTCAATTATACAACTATAATTAAAATATAAAAATACATACCTTTGAATATATTTTTATGTGCTAAAAACCTAACTTCTAATTGAGCAATAAAATGGTCAACATATGGTACAAATATTGTTATATTGTTGTACGATAATAAACTTCAATAGCCATTTCACATGTTGCATTATTCATAGAGTCTGTAAAAGGATTTGTTCTGTTTGTTTGTCTTTTTTCTATCCTTCTAACAGATAGATTTATATTGATAATTGCAGCCAGTTCCTAAGCATTACCAACAAAAATATTCAGTATAACTATTTAGCAAATATATATTTGTTTCTCACTCTTTACCTCAGCTTTTACAAATATTTGTTTAAACTCTTCATCGGTATTAGTTCTTATGTCTTATAAAGCTAAAACTGTATTTTCATCCAGACAAACTGCATCCATCAAACAAATTTGTTCAAATTGTAGTTGTTGATACAGTAATAAGCCATATGAAAATAAATTCTAAATAAAATTTAACAATTAGATCTATGTCTATATGATATAATGCAATTATATTTATCAAATTACCTTTATAACTTGAAGTGAAATAAGAAATTCGCTATCAAAGGCTTTTAATAATATAGATGCATCAGTCGCTGAACTATCATTCCACTCAGAAATTATTTCTTATGTAGCAATCACAAAGGGAAACAATTCCACAAAATCATTTACAGCGTCGTAACGTTGAGAACCCACCTTGTAGCACAGAGTCTCTTCAACGATTTAACTTTTGATTTAAAGTCACAACCATCAATTTCACGTAAAATTACACTGCTACGTTTCGGAGTGTTAAAAAATGTATACCTTTTTTCTAATATGCCCAGACAATTTCGTATTGGTTTAATGTTACTAGTAGTTGAAACAGCTAGGTTTAATGAGTGGGCAGCATAATAAATATATAATGCTGGAGGATACTTTTCACATATAATTGCTTAAACACCTCTAAACTTCCCAGACATGTTACTAGCATCGTCATAACCTTGTCCATACAAAAAATCACACTGAACTCCACAACTCGTTAAACCTAAAATTATATATTAAATTATTATATTACTATGATATTAACAAAATAACTATTTTTGTTTAGTAATATAATTACCATATAGGATAGCTGATGAAAGCCCCAGTTAAACTGTCAATATTTACATATTTCAAAAAATCTTCACATAAATTATTTTGATCAATATATCTTATACATAAAATGAGCTATTCTTTATTTGATACATCTATGGTCTCATCTGCCATAATAGAAAAGCATTATGCAGCATTAATTTTTTCAATGATTTTTTTCTGTATAACATCACCACATGCCGCTATTATTTCATTTTGAATTTTGGCTCCAATATATTTATACCGTTGATTATTTTCTAAATGCAATTTTAAAAAATTATATCCTTTCCCTCTATACCTCAGTATTGCACAAAAATTTCCATCATTAAACAATTCCTCTACGATATTTAAAATTATATTCATATTATATGTATATTATTAAGTACCTACAAAAATATTATCATTAACACACATTTTTCTGGAATCATTATGTCCTCTAAGGGCAATTTCTTGGCGTCCACATAGTATAATATATTCAATTATAGGGATAAGTTTCTTTCTGTTTTCTTGTATTTAAAGTTTCCTTTTGAACAAATATAACTTAATTAAAATAGACATAGTAATTTTTCAATTAGAGGTAATGTTTACAAACCTATCTTTACAGATTGCTTCGATAATTGAAGGTTGTTTTTAAGTAAAAATATTGAGGAATTGATCTAACAGAAGTAATATGTTAATCACAAGTAGAGTGTTTCTGAAATATCTAGATGATAGTTAAGAAATGGTTTTAATAATAATTATACATATCGATTACCTATAATATCTAAATTACAACCTATAAAGCTTTCTTCCATGCATTAAAAGCTTCATATACTAATTTGTGTAAAGGCTGACTCCCAACACCACCAGTTTTGGCAAACATAACATAACACAATTTTGACAACAGTAAACACCTTGGTTTTTTCAGAATAAGCAAGCCAATTAAACTCAAACAGCCATTTATATTGGAATTTCAAACCTCTTTTTTCATTTATACTACATAAGGGAAATTTATATGTAGTCAGTGGTACCCATACTTTAATTAACGCCTAGATAGGTATTACAATATTTATGAAAAAATAATTATATTTTCTCTTCTTTAATACAATCTTAAAGCAATAGATAACTTACAAAATATTTTTCATCATTTGTTAAATCACTATTGACAAATATACTTATGTGATTTACATGCGGCATGCTTTCATTCTAGTAAAGCAAAACTTATAAGCATGGCTTACCTATACTGTTTTAAAAATAAAAAAGTTATTTACCTAATCTTGATATCCTAAGATTTTTTCTGTAATCTGAACTTTGTTAGGGCTTAGTTGAGGTTCATCAATTTTTTTGCTTTGTTTGGCCAAATAGTCATTGATTTCTTTTAGCTGACATAACTAATTAAATCAAATAAAAATATTAAATATATTTTTTTATGGTTATATGCAAATTCAAGAAAAATAATTTTACTTACTTTTTTGTTATGAAAAAATGGTTAATTACTAGTACTGTCAGTAGATTAAATAACTCTTATGAGTGTACAAGTAAAATGAAAATGTTTTCGTATTAAAATTACACTAGAAAAAGTAAACTTGATTGGTGAATGAACGCAATTCACAAACGAAAATCGAGAACACAATTTTAGACGTTTAATTTGCCGTGCTGTAACGAACTAACGAATTCAGAATTACAACCTGGTCGACTACGGGTCGACATCGGCCTCCGACACACAGCTTTATTATTATTTTTATAAATATACATACATTCGATTATTCGCCCATCT